TGTGTGTTACACTTAACTGTTATTCTGTTCTATAATAAAGTGTATGTAGATGGTAAACATTCTGCTGTCTTTCTCTATATTTCAAAGACATCCATCAAATCAATCGTCAGTTTTGCAAGAGCTCCAAAACTACAATTTCTTCCAGAATGATCCCAAATGATTATGACACAAAGATGAATCTACATTAATGTATCTTCCACTGTTTTATGACCCAACACTTCTGGTTACAAAAACAATGACAGTCACCCTCAGCAAGGAGCTCTGTGAGTTATGTCTGTTCTCTATAGTATGCTGACAATGTTGCACTAAAGCAATTACCAGTGTGTTATTGCATAAGGCCATTGGGGAGGGTTAGAAGATATGCAGTCATTGGATAAGATCGGGAACTAATGTGCTGGCTCCTCAGGCGACATTTACAAATGACTCTCTCTATCTTGTTCCCGCCATCTGCTAGGTGCTCTTCATAATGTTGCAACAGTTTTGTTACACAATCACGTCATATCACGTGTGAACCCATTTACAGCTCCTGTTCTAACTGTTCTAGGAAGTGCAGCTCGGGGTAAAGAAAGAGATCTCAGAAAGAGATGGAAAGTAAAAAAAAAAAAATACAAAATCTGGATGAAAAGATGAGGATGAGTAAGAGAAAGCAAATCTGAATGTATATCATAAAAAATACAGTAACAGGTATTAACAAAAATAAAATGTTTTCTAATATGCAACACTTAATTCTGGTCCTCAAATTGTATTAATTGTGGGGAATTTTTAGTGACTCTTTATGCAGGTTAGATCGATACATTTACATTTAAAAATTTAGCAAACATTTTTATCCAAAGCAACTTAAAATGAGGATACACCAGTAGGTTGGGACAAGTGACTGTCAAAATGAACAATTCACTGACTCATTAATTGAAGTGATTTGTATAAAATGTTGATTAGTTCAGGAACAAAACAAGTGACCTTTGTGAGTGAGTGACTGAATAATAACCTTAACCAATTTGTTAAAAATACTGATTCATTTAGGAAAAACATTATATTTACAACACAGAGGGTAAGCATTGCAGAAAATGATAAATTTCAATACTTATGGGATCAACCAGGAATCAGTATATAACTTTCTGTGTCAAAGATCAAGTCTAGACAAGAGGTATTCAGACATCATGCTATTATATATTTAGGATGCTTTTGCCCAATCTTTTTGTGAAGGAAGCAAATCCCAAATCTGTATGGTTACCTTATTCTGGGCTGTGTGGAAAGATGATCCAGTGGCTGTTTTTACTAACACATCCTGTTGTGTAAGCAGCGTCTCTCTCTCTCTCTCTCTCTCTCTCTCTCTCTCTCTCTCTCTCTCTCTCTCTCTCTCTCTCTCTCTCTCTCTCTCTCTCTCTCTCTCTCTCTCTCTCTCTCTCTCTCTCTCTCTCTCTCTCTCTCTCTCTCTCTCTCTCTCTCTCTCTCTCTCTCTCTCTCTCTCTCTCTCTCTCTCTCTCTCTCTCTCTCTCTCTCTCTCTCTCTCTCTCTCTCTCTCTCTCTCTCTCTCTCTCTCTCTCTCTCTCTCTCTCTCTCTCGGTGTGTGTATAGAAGAACAGAAATTGGTCAAACATCACTGATACAACACAGGACCAAAGATGAGAGGGAGATAAACTTATGTAATACACACAGACAGACACACAAATAATCACAGACACACATGCAAGCACGCACAATGCATGTTCCTGCTGTTTCAAATCCTTTTTAGTTGTTCCATATGCATCTACAAGAGACCAAAAAGTAAGAGAACTTAGACATAAATGTCATTATTATATAACAAAATATCAAAGCAAGTGGCATCTATTTTAAATTAAGGTATCACAAGCTATAGATAAACAAGATAAACATTTAACAAAAAGAAGTCTGTTTTTAATTATAAACTGTCAACACAGACCTACTGTTCAAAATGAAGATAAGGTATTTGAATACTCCATCTGAATCTTACAATGTAGTAGGGCATTCATGAATTTTTAGTTTCACGACTACAGCATATTCAGATATATTTCTCATTTGATGTGTTTTTTTTTTTTTGCTTAATA